CATGCCGTTTCATTTCAAGGACCTATGTATCAGGTATCAGACTTTTTTTATTTTACTTTATTCTTATTTACCAAACGATAACTAGATCAAAACGTAACACGAATACCTACTTTCTTTCTCATCAGTCTCATTCATTCAAATAAATCAATCAACCACTATTTTCCACAATGCAACTCAACTAATCAGCATTTTTACTTTCCCTTTTAACTCAATCGAATTTCCAGGCACTGGAAAATCTAATAATCAGGATTTTTATACCAAGCAGATATATTTGGAAAGGTCTCTGTTCAAAATAAGTGAGACTATTGAGAACAAAAAGAAAATGAGCACAGCTCACAACAAACAAGAGAGAGAAAGGAAAGAAAAAAATTATAAGTCGCATATGTTACATATCATACGTAGAAAATGCATGATGATAATACATGCACGAGAATACTAAATTAATTGTTCGACGACGAAAGAAAAGTATCTTATACCCATTGAACGGTATCATATGTTAAATCGTGTCTTTTTGTACTCCTACCAATCTTAGTCTATTCAATATTTAGAAATATAACGGTTGAAAGTCAGGTAACTGAAAGAGTTCATTATGAAAGATAAGTTAATGTCTAATGAAAATAGATAAATTCATAATAATAGAAAGGATTAGATCTATACGACAAACATCATAACTAATTAGCTAGAGCAACACTGCACTGCAAACAAGAGCAGTCATCCTATTCCGCGATATTGCACATTGCGGAATCAGTTCCGCCCCAGGAATCCATTCCAACGATTCCTGAAACACATCCACGCTGCAAGACATTCAATTCCGGAATCCATTCTAACAGTTTTTAGGAATTCCGGAATCGATTCCAGCAAATACAAGCAACTCCTCACAGCTCCGTCTAATTCCGGAATCGAATGAAATCGGAATCGGTAGCAATTACTAGGAATTCCTAGGAATTCCGGAATTCCTATATCTAGTATGATTCTATCATCTCTTATCGATCTAATGATGATCCAATTCCGGAACGGAATTCCGGAATCGAATGAAACCGGAATCGGTAGGAATTCCTAGGAATTTCTAGCAATTCCTAGAAATTCCGGAATTGCTATATCTAGCATTACTCTAACAACTCTTATCACTCTAATGACGATTCAATTGCGAAACGGAATTCCGGCATTGAATGAAATCGGAATAGATAGGAATTCCTAGGAATTGCAAGCAATTCCAAGCAATGCCGCAATTACTATATCTAGTATGATTCTATCATCTCTTATCGATCTAATGATGATCCAATTCCCGAACGCAATTCCGGAATTGAACGAAACAGGAATCGGTAGGAATTACTACGAATTTCTAGCAATTCCCATGAATTCCGGAATTGCTATATCTCGTAAAATTCTATCATCTGTGATGAATCTAATGATGATCCAATTTCGGAGCCGAATTCCGGAATTTAATGAAACCGGAATCGGTAGGAATAACACGGAATTCCATGGAATTCCATCTAATTCCGTCCAATTCCTCCTTGAAGCGATTCCCGGAATTCCGTTCGGGAATTGCATACGTACACTAGGAGTGAGGTATTGCAGTAATGCATCGCATAGATGATTCCGGAATTGAACGTAATTACATGGAATTGCATGCAATTCCGTCTAATTCCGTCCAATTCCTCCTTGAAGCGATCCCCGGAATTCCATTTGGGAATTGCATGCATACACTAGAAGTGAGCTATGGTATTAATGCAACGAATAAATGATTTCGGAATCGAACGGAATTCCATGCAATTCCGTCTAATTCCGTCCAATTCCTCCTTCAAGCGATTCCCGGAAGTCCGT